CTGAGTGAAGACTGGAGAAAAAAACGTACAATTTGTAAGGTAGCTCAAGGGCCCAAACACTCATTAAATGGAACTCTAGGGATTAGAAGAGGGAAAATCCACCAAATCCAAGTGCTAAAGGTCATTTCACATTCCTGGAGACGTAGTTGTCCAAAAGCTAAAAGAATTTTAGTTCCATCAAAGATTTTAGAGCACATTTCAGTGTACATAATTGTCAGATTACCAAACGTGTGACGTGGGAAATTTATAGTTTCCGCATCTGTAAAACTAAGACTCATTCATTCAACCAATATTCGCTGGGTGCCTAGCATGTTCTAGGCACTGGGAATACAGCAGTGATCAAAACAGACTCCCTGATTTCACGGAGCTTATAATTGAGGGCAGGGGCTGCTACTACACAAGATAGATTATAAAATATGTTATACTTATCAGTGATATTTTTCTATGGAGAAAAATAAAGCAGGAAAGAGAAACAGTACAGGGTGGGGGGGTTTACTTTTAAATAGAAGGGTCGGGAAGTAAAATATTCATCCTCATAGAGTTGTGAGGATTGAATTACCTGCCAAACAAAGAGGTTCAAATAGTGCCTGGTACATGGTAAGCCTTAAAGAAATGTTACCTATTATCGTTGCTGGGTCTTTTTTTTTTTGAGATGGAATCTGGTTCTGTCATAAAGACTGGAGCCCGACCTACTGCAGTCTCCATCTTCCAGGTTCAAGTGATTATGTCTCAGCCCACTGAGTAGCTGGGAATACAGGCACATGCCACCATGCTCAGCTAATTTTTGTATTTTTAATGGAAAGTGGGTTTTGTCATGTTGGCCAGGCTGGTCTTGAACTCTTGAGCTCAAGTGATCCAACTGCCTCAGTCTCCCAAACTGCCGGGATTACAGGTGTGGGCCACTGTGCCGGGCCCTGTTGCTGTTATTTTTGTTATCATTATCATCTACTTATTCTCAAAGATGAAGGAATTCTGGATACCTCAGAAATCCCTAAAGTCTATGAATCTGAATTTACAATTAGAATTTTACCTATAAATGTATAAGTTGAATTTCTGGCATTCCAAATCATTGCTCACTCCAAATCCCCCTAAAAGTGGGGATACTGGTTCTCATATGCTTTCACAAGTATTATGAAAATCACTAGTTGAAAGATCCTCCAAAAAACATAGGCATGTAAATGCAGAGCAGTCTCCCCTATTTTGCAACAAAGCAGAGTGATCATCTCCAATG